GACCAGTGCTGCCGGAAGTGTATTGGATAAGGCAAACATCTCCTGGCTCTCCCACAAACCTCTCATAATCTTTTGGCTTTCCCGGTGTCTGCTTCTTGATTGTCAGTCTGTCTGTCCCAACCCACTTGACACCAGTCTTGTCTCTCATGACAGCAGCAAATGTGACATTGCTGAGAGCGACTGTCGCTCCAGCATCCTCAGCAAATCCACGGAACTTGGGCATGTCTGTTTTAAGCTGATTGGGATTTGGAGGGTAGATGGAGCAAGGGATAACTGAGATCTTCATGGCACCAAGCATACCGGCCAAGAACTCAAGGCCAAAGGGATAAGCAACCATCACGCGATCACCCTTTTGGCATCCCAGCTTGAGGAGGCGGGCTGCCACAGCATTGGATTCATCTTCGAGCTGTTTGAACGTCAGCCGTCTTTCCTCGCGGCACTTGATGTCCACCCATGTGCACAGAAGTTTGTCGGGGGTCTCCATGGCATGGTGCGCCAGGGCCTCAAGGATGGTTGAGAAGTACTTCATTGATGCTGATTGATGTGTTTTTGTGAGTGTTTTTTAGTAAGGGAGAAATGCAGATTTGTAGGTTTCATCTTCGTCGGGTTTGGTGGTGGAATATGACCATGCAGCGGCAGCCCTCAAAAGCGCATACGAATTGGGTAACTACGTTTTAACATGGTTTTTCTATATTGTTAAAACAACAAACGTTTCAATGAGAGCATTGTTTGACAATAAATCTGTTGTTAAAATACACGACCAGACACACTTCCCGTGAGCACCGGTTTGGTTGTTGACCTGTGGAGGTTCCACGGAATTCACTTCTTTTTGGTTCGGAACCGACTTTGCAACTTTTCCTACCAGTACTAGCTAGCTGGTAGGCTAACCAGAAGATGCCCCTCTTTTTCCTATTCGATGATCCAGTGAGGTAATCAACCAAAAACCAAAACTGTCACGGTAGACGTAGAATTAGAGGGTAAGTGCAGCTCCGTGTAGAAAGATTGAAATTACTAGTACTGTGCAACCTGGTCCGTTTCTGAAGCTTGTGCAGTTTAATATTACTTTGAAGTTGTGATCCAGCGAGCAAACTACCTAGTCTAGTAAACAGCATGACAGGTTGGGAAGGAAGTGCAACCACTGCAAGGCCAGCAGTGGTCAAGATCGCATCTGACATCTATCTGACATAGCCAAGGTCCCTTTACGTGGACCACTGAGCTTCCAAGAGCAATGAGCACTCAGCAGCATCCTTTGGCTGTAGCTTTCTGACAGAATGAATCAGTCTGTGTTGGCTGGTTGCTCGCTTGACGAACAACGCCACTGAGCTGGAGCCGGCTGGCTGGATATGAAAGGTGCTGCCTAAGAACTCCTGGGGTGAATTTTAGGCAACTGCATCATTCAGGGCAACCCATAGCACTACTAGTTAGTAGCCAAATAGAACAATCCTTCGTTCCAGCAGTGTGACCGTGCCGCCCAGTCACAGAGTTTGCTCGCCGATACCGGTACCGGTAGGGCCTTCGTCACCTATCCGTACCGGCATGGGACGTTTCCTGACCGAAAAGGAAGCGCCCCAAGTAACCTAATAATCCAAGGCACCCTGCTTCGAATAGCATCTCCATACTGTACATCCAGGCCACCAGCACAAGCAGAAGCGCATAGTTAGTGGGTCACAGGAATGCAACCCCACTGCGGCTACTCGGTCCGATACAGTATGCCCCAAGCGACGCGGGAGCCTCCGGGAGGTTTCATGGCCTGAGTCGATACAAGATTGTCGCCACAAGCCGATGGCAACAATGGCGATACCGTACTCATTTAGGTACCGGTACGAGGAGCCACAATGGATAGATAGACCAGAATGTATACATACATTATACGTACACCAGAAAGACAGAAAGACACGTGTCTATGGTTTTAAAACCCGTTCCGAACAAAATATATGGAAAAGAGCCAAACTCTGTCTCCTCCTTGGAGCCCGACCGCGCCTGGCTTTTCCGACGCAAACTAACACGGCAGCCAGCAGCAGCTTTCCCTACCGTAGTAGATGCTGGTCTCTGACGCCACCGGTGCGTTTTTTGCAGCCAAGCAGCGTAGTGGGAGTTATTAGACTACAACAGAAGCCAAAGTCTGTCAGGAGGAAGTGCAACTAATTCAAACGACTTGGCACGTTGCCGAGTGAGAGTGACAGTCCCCTCCGGCTGGCTAGCACTGGTATCTTTGGGTGCTCGCCAGCACAGATAGCGGTACGGGTAGCTGGCAAGGACTTCTCATTCGAAAGGTTTCGTTGGAACATTATTACTTGGGTGCCACTTCGTCCAGTTGTCAGCTCCAATTTATTAACAGTCTGTTTTCTTTGAGGACCCTCCAAGTGTTCAGAATGTCTTGTTTGTATTTTTTGGTTAAATCCTAGATTAAAGTGGAGCCTTCTGCTTTCTGACTGCCTGACACAAGAAAAGATCCCACCTGATCAGGTTCCCAAGCAGATGCAGGAGTGTTGCCATTGTCTTCTGGTATGAGAGCAGGAATCATCCCTCATCCCACTCAAAGCAGGGAAGTACATAGAAGAACAGAACCTTCTTGAGATACTCTTGTGAGGTCGAAGGTGCCAGCGGTTCTATCAAAGCAGGAGTCCCTTTGTGAAACTCACAAGCACCTGTGAACTCAAGGCGTTCTTACTATTACTTACTTGCAGAGAGAGGCTGTGATATTGTCTCTCAATATCTATCTCATAGTTTCTTTGCGTTACATCACTCTATCTGTTTGTACAGTATTACTTACTTCTATAATAGCTAGTTCAGTATTCCCATGACACTCCCCATTGTTGCCGCGAGCAGCGATGATTCTTTGGACGAATCGACGCTGACTCCGTTTTCCACGGGCGTGGGTTCCTCTTGGTTGGACCTTAATGCTACTACGAATACGAATGGAGCGCACGGCTTGGACGACATGAAGTTTGTCTCGATGGCTTCTTCGGCAGTGGAAACGACCAGTTTTAGCAATGAAGAAGCAGCAGCAGAAGGAGATCCCAAACTGCACACCAATACTGCACAGAATCGATCGTCCACTGTGACGCAACGAACCGAATTGGAAGCATTGTCCTTGAATGTGGAAAAGACGACGAAACGAACACGATTCTTGGCATTGTTGGTGGTCCTCATTGGAGCCGCCGCCGCGGCGGCTTTTTTGGCATTGGGCATTACATCCGCCAATCAAGATGCATCCGACTTGTTTCTGGGACGAGCCCGGACCATTGGCGTGGAAATTGGCACCAGTTGGAGGGATTATGAAACGGCCGCCTTGTGGATTCAGGAATCCTGTCGCGATTGGAGACACACCAATTATACGCGAGACGATTTTGCACTCCTCTACGAGTTTATTCGACGCATGCCATTGGACTTTTACGGCATGGAATGGGTCCCCAATATTACGCACGATGAACGAGCTAGTTTTGAACAAGAAGGCAAACGGGGATGGAAACTGGAGGAACCACCCCAACAACCTACCGGGCAACATCTATTATGGCACGAAGAAGACGAACAGCAGCAGCAGCAAGAAGATGGATACACTGGATTCATGGGGCAGGAACCGGATCCAGACAATCCAGGAGAGCTAATGTACACGGAACGTTCCGAACAACCATTCTATTTCCCAATTCACGTAAGGCCGTGCTTTTGTAGCAAAGATGCCACTCAGAGCTTGGTTGCTTTTGTCCTTG